TTGTGAAATCTTGGATCAGTTCTTGATCTCCATAAAATTCAATCATCTTCACAACCCCATACTGATAAATATCATGTGTTCACTAGTAGCTAGCTATGATAGAAAAATTCTGGAGTTCTGGTGAGTACCCGTGACCAATGAAGCTCAATCATATAATATGAGGAAGGTATCCACTGAATACAATGGAAGTTAGTCAAGTAATATCACAATTTAATTGCATTTAAGGATGTAAATCATTAGATCCCGGCTCAGTGGTCTAGGGTTGAAGGAATCTCGGGTGAGACCGAAGGCCCTAGGTCTAATTTGCGATCGCAAGCTCGTGACTGCATACCACTGAGAAGTTCCATACTCAGGAGAAACGATTGTTCAGTGACCCCACGTTACCGTTAAAGTGTTCTTCATTAGAACAAAATAATCCACGCAATGCGCTACGATTTTTATCAGATAGTTGATAAGACTGATCTTCAAATAGATTAAATTGTCAACCAAAGATAATGGATCAATCTATTGATTAGTTATCAGCTTAACAAAGAATTCTCAAAAATTCAACTAGAAGTTGTGAGAGTAAAATACATAGTCGAAATATTTCTAAATAAGTACATCTAGAACGGAATAATAATTTTGAATAGCCTACATTATGTAGTAATGTTCAGGATTTCGTGCTATATTGTTATGAAAACTAACATTTTAACCGGTAGAGCTGCCATATTTGGCATTAGTGACAAAAAAACCGTTTATCACTACATAGATTCAGTGTATATATTAACATAAATTCAAACAAAAGTTCTCAACAATAACTATAGGTGATTCTTATCTAATTATCAATTATTTGTGTTGGAGAAATGCTAGCTGGTTTTAATTTTCATAGATTAGATATGAACTTATTGAATCTTCAGACTGTAATCAACACCATGTCAATAATCCTAAAATATTCATTCTATCAACTGGCCAACTGCAATTTTTTAAATAATGGAACTACATTTCCTGATCATTAAATCTATTGAGAATGGATGTTGTGAATCTTTCTAACTGTACAGTCATGATTCATCATTTCAAACCAAATCCATTTATTTGGTAAAATACTGGGAGTTTCTCAAATTTTACTTCTATGAAATTGTTGTCTAATAATTTGATTTTTAAGATTTAATATACTGAGAATTAGTTTAAAATTCTAATTTACTAACTCAGGTTTTGGTAATTAGTATCTTTATCCTTCATATGACAAATGTATTACAAAATTATGGTACATGACCCTCTACATAGTTATTGGGTTGTATGAATGAAGATATTTTATTTATTTATTTAAACACATAAACATTGGTACACGAAGGCACCAAACAGGTACGAGCCACATAAATCATTCAATTTATGTGAGGGCTTGGATACTGCTCGGGTTCCCAAACTGGAGCAGGTGGTTTTCTTAGGGGGCCACACCACGAGCTTTATATCTAAAGGTCTAATCCACAGGGCAGTGAAGCAACGTCAGGAGATGCAGTCCCATTGTAGCCGTTTTGTTTCCTTAAGATCTTAGAGCCCATGTGCACTATTGCTTTGGAATCAGGATTTTTTAACTCCTCTAAATGGATCCTCGGTTTCCACCAACCCGGTTAAAGCGCCGGATATTCGCTTTTCATCCTCTCAATTTGGTAAACAACACCCTTCGCTGGGAGAAAGCAGTGGGTAGGACAACCCGTATGTATATCTACCAGTTTCTGTATTTAAAAAAAATAAAATTAAGGCTCAATTGTATAAAAGTATTTTTTCAGGATTATTCACTTGACGTTTGTGAATGTTCAAATAATTCCATCGAATGTTATAAAATTCATCCGTTATCAAAAACTTTCAACTCATTGAATAACTTAGTTATTCTTCATAAGATGGACATTGTTCATTACTCATAACACAGAACTATGACTAAGTTTTTTCTTTAACAAATTTATCATAACATCAATAGGGAAGCTCTCGGTTTTTTTACACTCCACACTCCCTTTTTAAACTTAGTACTTATCAATACACGTTCACTTCTGAACAAAATTTCAGCCTTGAGAACATTAGCTTTTCTAGCCAAACCTTCTTTCATACTTATCACTGAAACATGGTGCTCTCAAGCAGTATCTAATTCAGAATTAAATATCCAGAACTATCGACTTTATTGCTGCGACAGAGAAACTAAGCGAGGAGGTGGTTGTATTGTATATGCTTTGGATACCCTAACAACTAATAAAGTTGAAGATAGTGTCCTGAATAGTTTACCAGAATCAGTCTGGATATCAGTCAACAACCTGAATCATAGTCTACTACTTGGATGTATATACAGAGCTCCTGATAATCCGAATAGTGGGAATGCTCTTATTATCAATGCATTCATACATGCATCCTCTCTAAACTTTAATGCTAAGGTTATCACTGGGGATTTCAATTATCCTGGGATCAACTGGAGTACCGGTAGTTGTCAGTCATGTAATGATGAGTTCTCGGCAACCATTAACATGCACTGCTGGTCACAGTGGGTTAGTGCCCCAACTAGAGGCGATAGTATACTCGATCTAATATTCAGTAGAGATGTTATCCCACTATCTGTAAAAGTGTATGATGAATTTGAATGCAGTGACCATAAGATAGTAGTTTGCGCTCTCCCTATCTATCTCTCTTATAACCCACCCATTTAAAAAACCTGTCAATATAGAGACTATAAGCATGCTGACTGGGACCTCCTGCATTCATTGATTAAACTTTCAGATTGGTTAAAGATAAGTGGCTATGCTTCAAGAGTTATGTGTGTGACTAGCAACTCAATAAAATCTATCTCCTTCACATGCATGAAAATTAGTAAGGCTATAAATACCCTTAAGCTTTCGAAAGGTCATGGAGTAGACGGGATTTCATCATTTCTCTACAAATATGATGGTCCAGATATTCCACTTCTTCTTCTAAAGCTGTTTACTCTCTCTATGGAAACCGGTTCTTACCCTTACTGTTGGAAAACCGCGTACATCATACCACGTTACGAATCTGGAGATAAGACTGACATGAACAATTACCGGCCAATAAATATTACTCCAGTAATTTCTAGGATTATGGATGATGAACTTTCCAACTATTTACTTGCTGGAAAATTTACCAATGATACTCAACATGGATTTCTTAAAAATCGTTCTTGCATGACATATCATTTTGACTTCTTTAATTTAGTCTATTCTCTACGTAGCCAAGGATATCTAGTCTTAGTGCTATATCTGGACATTTCTAAAGCCTTTGACATGGTTAGCCACCAACTTCTTATAGGTAAGCTCGCGTCTTATGGGGTTCAAAATCCTTTGCTTGCTTCCTTTCTCAGCAATCGACATCAAATAGTTAAAATTAACTCTTCATTGTCTAACACTGTCCCTGTTAGAAGTGGTGTAATACAAGGTAGTGTCTTAGGTCCTTTGCTATTTTTAGTGTTTATCAATGATATTTGTGAGTTTTTGTATCGGTAAGCCCCTTCTATATGCAGATGATCTTAAAGTAGTATATTCATTTTCTCCACATGACCTGAAAAATATGCAAAATTGCATCAGCATGGAGCTTAACAAGGTAGCACAGTGGTGCTTAAAATGGCAACTGGAGCTTAATACGGCTAAATGTGGATGGATGTGCTTCGGCGATACATCACTCAACCTAGACATTACCATAAATGGAGAAGTGTCATCTAGGTTACATACAGTAGTAGACTTAGGACTTAGATACTCCCAAGACTTGTCGTTTACAGAACATATATTAAAACAGAGCTCTAAGTCTCAACGTCTAATAGGTTACATAACTCGAAATCTTTACAACACTGAGTCACGTATTCTAATGTACAAAGTTTGTGCTCGACCTCTTCTGGAATACTGCACGTTTATTCTTAGCAGTGCGCTCATAAAGGATAAATTAAGGCTGGAATCAGTACAGAGACGATTTACACTTCGTATTCTTGGAGCTGATTGTACCTTAACTTATAATTCTAGATGTAATAAACTTGGGCTAGACCCTTTATGGAGGAGGAGACTCAAAATAAATCTTATCTTTTTCTTCAAACTACTTCATAAACTATCGTTTACATCCGATCACGCGATTCAATATGCAGAAACCTCTCATTATGACATCCGTAATTCCTTGGCACTAGTGAAACAAACTCACCCCAAATCATCTCTCTATATGAATTACTTCACCTGTAAATTTTCTAGACTCTGGAATAACCTACCACAATCTATCCGTACGATAAAATCACTCCCATTATTTGTTCGCTCCATCGATGCATACTGCTCCTCTGAAAATGCATTGAATGGCCTAGCGCCTTTAAGTGTATCTCATTCCACAAGTGATAATTTAGGAACCTTAAATGTTTAGCCATCTTTATTAGTGAATTACCTTAATAAAACCACCCACTTGCTGTCAATATGTTAACACCGCTCCTAGCAACTTCAACTAATTTGAATAACATAAACAGTATATCACTGTGTCACATGACACACGCATTTAGGTAGACCTGAATGATATATTTTCGTAACTACTTTTTTGTTGTTCCGTGCTCTCTGTTTTCGTTTTAATTTCTCTAGTTGTAGATAATTATCATTCATTCGATCTGGCACACGAATTGACCTTAATTACACCGTTCATAAATCAACAGGCTGTCCATTTAAGAAATATTAAAAATTCCCGGCTGATGCATTGGGTCGCTGTGATATATGTACTACTTGAACAACTACTGAACTAGTATTCTTAAAACTTTCTTTTATCACATGTTTGTTCTGCACGTCCAACGTTATTATTTATATCAAATTGATCATGCCTGTAAACTGGCGTGAATTCTGTAATTATTATTTTTCAGAATATAAAATTATTATTATTATTATCATTATTTTCTAAACTTTCTTCTTTATTCCCCTTACTATAACTAATATCCATGGTCTTGATGTTTATACGTGAAAATGAGAACCACTACAAACTTCACAACGTGAAGTGAAAACACAAAGATTGGTAATAAAAGATGACGATTTATTGATTTTCCAAAAAACATGGCACCGTTAAATCGAATACACTTATTTATGTACCGATTTTAGACATCATTGATTATTAATTAATAAATATTATATACATGGAAAGATAAACAAGGTTGTTGTAATAAACATACGAAGTGTGCTCAAACTAAAGAGAGTATAATCGTTATAACTTGAGAAAGTTCACACCTAAGTAAAATTTACACTTGATTAATATTGACCTGAAATAATGCTACATTGGAAAATATAATCTCGATATTGTACTGATTACAATTGGAAATTGAGAATAAAACCGATTTTATACTGGAATATAAAACCAATAGGTGAAGGTAAAATGTATAGGCGACCTTGAAATATTTTTTAGCTAACCATAAAAGTGTTTGGTTAGGAAATGATATATCATTAAAAAATTGATATAATCATAGTGGATAAGCAGCTCTAAGTTAACGAATTGTTACGTTTTAGGCCACGGATCGGGATCAGCTATCGTCAAAGAATGAGCTTCGCGCTGTAATCTGATTTATTGAGTGAGAATAAACTCCACTTACGTCCGTAATTTGTTCCTCGCACCTGGTAACCAACGAAAATGAAGCGGGAATTATTATTTACCCTGTTGTAATCCATGATCGAAAGCGTATTTCGTTCTGTAGTTTCCTGCGATGGAAATACCAGTCCATTATGCTATGGACGTGTAAACTATAATGCAGTGGGTCATGATAGACAAAAATATGACCGCGATTACTGACTACGATACGCTTATATTACCAGAAAATGTGGAGTTTACTTCAAGCCAATTAGTTCGTTGACATACCTAGATTAATGAAATGCGGACATATGAGCTTGCTTTTTTCTCTTAATTTATCAGCACGCCAATGCATTTTGGAAAACGGACGTCAAGTCATAACTCTCATATGGCCACGTGCATGCAACCACTGCCAGGGAGGTCTTACTCACTACCTTCTCGTGGAGGGGATGTTGTTTACCAAATTGACAGGACAAAAAGCAAATGTCTGGCGCTTTAACCGGGCTGGTGAATCCATCTAGGGGATTTGGTAAACCCTGATTCCAAACCAATGGTGCAAATGAGCTCCAGGATCCTGAAGGAACAAATAGCATGTGAACCTATTGTTGGTCACCGACTACCATCGGACTGCATCTCTTTACGTTACTCCACTGTCTTGTGGATTAGACCTTCAGGTCAAAGGCTCGGGGTGTGGTGCCCTAAGGAAACCACCTGCTTCGGTTCGGGTACCTGGGCAGTATCATAGCCCATACACAAATCAAGTGACTTGTGTGTCGCAGATGTATTCGGTTCCCCTTTGTACCAATGTTTATGTGTTTAAATAACTAAATGAGCATAGCGTGATGAGAATAACACGACTCATTTTAGTAAGAGCTCTCAAACATCGATAAGCTGACGTGGAAATTCGAAAGCGAAATCATTTGACTTTATTTTTATACAGTATTCACTAGACTTGGCTACTTCAGAAAGCATTACAATGTTTTGACAGAAGCATGTTCAGGATTTTATACTCCACCTACTTAACCTTTAATCTAAAATATCACATACAAGTAACTGGTTTGCGTTAATTGAGGGGTGATGATGCAATCAAGGATGTCCAAATAGTTTGTACTACGTCCGTAGAGAGACTGTTAAGCTTCTCTTAAAAGCAGAAGCTGAAATGCACAGATATACTTCCCCCATTATATCTTAGAATGTGAGTTTTATATTAGGATTTAGTATCCCTAACAATACTTCAGTGTTAACATATGATATCGTCCCCCCTCCCACTGAGACAAATAATACTTAAAGCTATTGCATTAAAATTCGGATATCACGACTTAACTAACTCAACTTAGGATTACATTATTTCCCGACTGCTTAACGATGATAAACTACTTGGACAAATGCTAAGAGCTCAACAGGGGAAATCGGATCTTTGAAAACATGTGAACAATAAACAAGGGTTAATAGGCCGTATATTTACTAGTGAAGTACTGACAATCAGATATATATGAAGAAAATAGGGGTGAATCTGAGGGAAATCTACATAAGCTTATTGTAAATCGTAATTTTATGTGAGATCTTGACATCAACTTTCATGAGATTCGGGTTAATGAAGACAAAAAGAGTTCTCAAGAAGGGGTTTTACTTGGATATACTGGATTAGGGCACAACGGACTGAGTTACATAAGATGCAGAAACTAACAAAACTTTATTAAAACATATAGGAACAGATCAGTAAATATATTTCTTAGACGTTGGATATAACACAGTTCAAAACTGCGACTTACATTTGTAAACTGAGGTATATTTGATGTTAATGATAAAATAAACTGCATTCAGAGTACAAACAAAGAAACCCAAAAACGTCATGAGGTTATATTAAGCTTATGGGTATATAAAATGCATACGGAAGAAATAATTTTTTCTATACATGTTTGAACTTTATGTACAGTGGTTTGGAAAGGAAGTTTATGATTGGTATGGAATTTGAAGATTGGAAATTATTTGACTTTCCTTTGCATCAGCTCCATAACATCAGGTTTCGCTAATTGTCGGCCAACCAGGACAATAACGACACCACCCGAGAAGAAAAGACAAGGCAACCAAGCAGCCATCATCGGGTGAGAATATCTATATAGATGTCCATTATATTCGTAACAAGTTACCTGTAGAGCTGCTTCCAAACAAATGATTGAAAAATAAATGTAGCAAGCAATGCCACTGCCATTCCAAAGACAAATCCAACAAGAGACCTGTCAAACACCCACCACAGTGCAATAGATAGTCCAATTGCTGTTAGTGATAGCTGTGAGTATGTGGCGAAATCTATTCTAGCGGTTGCATGGCTAAAACCGAAGAACAGAGCAGCACACCGCAGAACCGATGACCACTCCTTATTATAAGCATCGAAAGCACCCAGTTTAGAGTCAACACATGGAGATAAAAGCCCTACTGTGACTGAAAATTTACTATAATTCTGAGAAATATTACATACCTGAGGCAACGCCACAACAGAAAGATATCCAAAATTTCGCAGCACTTTCTGTGTAAAAAGAAATCTTAGAAGCCGTAAATTCTCCCTTTATGTTGTGTAGTGCTTCGGAAACCCAACAAAAACATATGCCCAGAAAAAAGAGGAGCAGACCACGATAGACCAACACCGGAAACTTTGTCGTTTGCAAGAGAAGCACCATCGCGCGACTAACTACAACCTTGTAATCAGCTGATTTCTGATCGAATGATGCAGTAAAACGAGTAGTGAAAAGCTTAAAAAGTTTAATGCCATATAAACATATGATATGCTAATTGAACGTTTGATTTCTGATCTAAACGACGCTGAGTGCCTTTGAAGTACTGTAAATTACGACTTCATTATGAATAAGTTTGTAGGCTATATTTATTATAATTAGTGGCTTTGTTCAATATTATGTTTTTGGTGCAATATAGAATTCTCATCACAAGGTATTTCAAATAGTTTCTTTTACAAAAAGAAAAAAAGTGAAAGAACTTGTTAACTAAATACCTATATACATAAGTTAAGTGAATGAAGTACCTGAAATCAAATCAAATATGTTTTAAAGAAGATTTGCACTGGTACAACATTTTAATCAGAAACATGTTTAAGAACATAAGTTTTTGATTAAGTCAGCTTTAACAACCTATTCGTCACATAGTATAATTACCAGATAAGGTATGATAGTACTACTATACCTTTGCTTGAGTTCATTGATTCTAATATATTGACGTCTCTTTCTATCAGAACATATACAAGGTGAAAGATATGAGTGGAGTGAATGGTTAGTATTTGATAAGATAACACCTGTCATGTATTCGCAAGATCTTAGATATCTATTCGCCAACATACTAATAGTGACCATAAGGGATTCACTACACACTCTGATAATTGCATCCACCATTATCCGAAACACAGCAAAATATTTTCTCAAAAGCTCTGGAATGAATAACGGAGAGGAGTGTTGAATAAGAGGTAATACTCGAGAATTGACAAATCGTAAAAGTAAATGTCGGGCAATACCAAAAACATGCAGGCTCTTCATTTAGTAATTCAGGCGAAAAAATTCGTCGAGAACATTAAATTATGAGAAGATAAAGAGAGATCAAAGGAAAAACTTACAACAAGATAAATGACCATTGAAAATGGGTTTACGAAAGAATCTATAATAGTACAGGCTCCATGAGATTTCAACAGGGTGTTTAGATGCTGTCCATGTCTCAGGCTAAACTTATCATTTGAACATTTAAACGCGTTAATTGTTAGACCATTACCAATGAACACCATTCAGTACAAGACAAAAACTCATTCATTTCTATGGTATGCAAAGAGGCAGAAAACGGTATACATACAGTGAGGTTGTCCGCATGTTTGACAGGAGTGCTTTCTGTAGATCAAGCAGGAAAATTTTTAAGAAGAAGAGAAAGAACAGCTCCTTGTGGCTCACCTTTATGAAATAGTTGAAACGGCGAACACTTACCTGCAAACACAGTGTACTGTTCGCTTCCGGAGAGGTGGGAAAATATCTGTTTGTTTATCCAGCCGCCAGTATTGTCGCTCATCAACTTGCCAATTAGTTTTCTTAGAACAGAGTCAAAAGCAGAAGAATAGTTCAGGAAAACGCATGAAACATGTATCTTACTTTTTTCCCAGCTGAACGCTATATTATGATGGAGAACAACCGCAGCATCCAACGTTCTTCTCTTGCTTTTGTAAGAGGTCGGATATGAATCAATATGCTCTTTTAGTGCAGGTTAAAGTGAAAGTATCATCCTTTTTTTCTTGAAAAAGGTTAAAGTTATCGATCTGGGTCTAAATTTCACATTCTTGTGGCCAGATACTTTCTTAGGTATTGGGTTTGTCTTCACGCCTCTACACGTTTTCGGTATAAAATTAGATGAGAAGGGTCTGTTAGAGTTGCTCGTGAATGAATAGCACAGAAAGTCAGCACACTTTTTAAAAACGAAGTTTAGGTTTTTATTAGATCCTAAACATGGGGATGAGTTAAGTGACTGGAGACATTTTCGGATATCAGTTTCATTGAAAATCGGTAGACAACTTTTCTTCAGATTGACGTATAAGAGACTTACTTGAGTCACAAACATTCAGCTGATTATCACTTCGGATTTGTCACTCGCCTGTAAGTTCTTTAAACAGTTTATGAAGTAATTTCACATGTACACGTTTTCCTTTTTAAGGTGGTCTTAATGCACAATGAAAGACTTTCTACTTGTTTTTTTGCGTTTTTTTAGTATTAAAGTGCAATTTACTACCAAGTAAGTCACTTAATTGAGTGAAGCAGTACTAAGACAATCAATGAAGTACTACGTAATAGAAAGAAAATGTTAAAAATGAGAAATGCAAGTCAATGGACAACACTGATCCGCTCTAAGATCCAACATCGAAACAGATAATTGATAATAAAACCTTTACTCAACAGTCAAACGATGTATCGAAACTAATTTCGTATATGCTGAGACCCGAATATGCACAATTTTTGTTCATTAGCTTCCGAGGTGGTTATAAGATAAAGCTTGATAAATTTGAATGGAGAACTGGAAAAATGTGATATCTTCAGCACTCAACGTATACACATAATTATGGTTTGGAATACATATCAATGTACAATTAAACCTTGTTCAGTGGAACTACAATTATCGGACGACCTTTGAGGGACGCTAAAGTGACATCGAGAATATCGGCCTGGTTGGGAGAATTAAAAGAGGGTTATTAGTTGATGTCAGGAATAAGGATTTAGATGTTGAGTTAAGAGTTCAGGCTAGATATTGGGGTAAAAGTTTTCACCAGGACGTGATAGTAACGATAGTGCCAAAATGTCATAAAGATAAGTGAATTTCACGCCAAAATCCGACGATTACTGCCCTTACTTTCATTGTTTCATCCATAAATTGTAGTCGAGCTATGTGTTCTTGCTTTCAAATACAGTAATGTTATCAGCTACTTGTAATATGAGTAAATCATTTACAGGACAAAAATGAATAACACTAGCTTTCTAACATACAGTAAACTAATTCACATAATAGGTTGAGAGATCTTCGTAAATTACGTACTGTACCGATGAATGTTTCAGGCTGGAATACTTAATAGTTCAAGGAAGATGTTGCTATTTTTCTATAGTAGCACAGTACGATGTAAGGTGCTGCGCAAACGGTTGATGCATTTTAGCACTCGTGAGTTTTAGGCGGTGGTTAAATTGGGAAAAAATATTTATTCGCGATGAACTATTTTTGAATGCACAGTAAGCAATATTAACATGTTACAAAAGTGACTCGACACTCACTTAAGCCGTTTACTCTTCATGGAGATTCCCTTAATGTATGTCCTGTCCTCTTCTAACGTCTTTTGCGAATTTCCTGCTGAGAAAAAAGCTGATATATTCTCTCCCACAGTAGGCTGTTGTTGAAGGTTTCTGGTCAATGAACGTAGAGCATATTGTGTAAACAATTGTTTATAAATACTTGTACTGTTTTGATAATGATTGCGGTATTTCTGGAAGATTCAGGTCCATACAGTAGTACTGCCTAGGCTTTCGTATTGAAGATATTGGTTGACAGTTGTTTTGAGTTTCATATGTTCTTCAGTTGTAGGAATGCGGTCCTTGTTTTGCCAATCTTCGCCTTTACATCTATGATGCTGTCTGGGTACGTGTAAGATCCCATATATTTTAAAGCTTCTCCATCTGGTTCTCTGTGCATGTGTTCGTGTGGGAATGTTGTGCCACCTATAACCATTTTGATGAATGCACATAGATTTGCAAATCTCTTCCCATTTTCATTCGTTTATCCCAGTCAGTCCATGTTTTCCCATGATATATTCATATCAGGTGTTGTCAATTCCGACTTTTTCGTTTCAACCTCCCATCAGAATGATCAGGTCCCTTCTTAAGTACTTCATTATGATCGATTGCATTATCTTGTAGAACTGATCTTTATTATCGTCGTTGGAATCATCAGTAGGTGCAAAACTGAATAACATTTATCGTGATTCCCTCCTTTGTTTTGAACGGTGTTTTGATGATTCCAGATCTGTGAGATTCCCAACTGCATTTCATGCTTCTTTGAACAGTATCAGAGCACCTCCCTAAGTGTGTGAAGCATTTTCCTCTTCTTGATCGGAGTACAACAGCATCTCCCCAGAATTTAATATTTCAGGTTCAGCATGGATTCAACGGCTTAAACTTACAACCTCTTTTCTGTTGTTAACTGACTCGTTATTTCGGTATCCTACATTGTCCAGAAGTTTCATTTATCTATATTAATTGTTGATGTGGTTGTTAGAGAGAGAATCTGCCTTTTGAGGTCCTAAGAATCTCTTTTTTATTATAAAGCGTTATAATTCACGTAAATGAAGATCCTCTTACTCACAAGACAGAGTTAAACGGTTAAAATTTTAATTCTGGTTAGCATTTTTCATGCAAGGTTGTTATCTGTGGGATGAGTTTGCTGACCTCACGCTTACCTCTCCTTGGTTTCATGAGTTTAGGACAATCAGTAACTCTAAAAGAGGAAAAGATGAAGTTGATACTTTACAAGTAAGTGACGAAATTCCGGGGTGAGTTGCTTCGAAAGCATCGTATTGATTGTGACAACTACATTGTGAAACGCTAAGTGGATAGGGATGAAAGTGTTATTGATAGCCTGGCCTGTTGGAAATGCTATTCTAACTTCTGTTATTCTGTAACAGCTTAGGTTGGTTGGTTTAGAGTTGACCCCAAACAACCAAGTATATGCCAAGACGGTGTTGTTCAAGCATTCATTCACTTCCTTATTTTGTATAAGCGTCATATTCCCTATTATCTTATATTGAATGTTGAGAGCCTTTGTTTGTCTGAACAGATAATCCCACGCTCCACTGTGACTGCGCGAAGATCGAAATAAAGATCTATTCATTACTTCTCTGGTTTCTTCTATCAATAGCACGAGGGTTACCTTAAGGCACGAAACTGGTGAGCCCTTTTTGAACACAAATTTAACCTCATTTCTGTTATTAACATTTTTTTTACTTAATCGTAAAGGTAGACCTGATTATCCGTTAACTAAGTGGAGTATATAACTAGTTTATTCCGTATTATCTTAAGTTACTCGTGTTATAGTAACCATTTTTCGTGCTAACTTTATTGCTATATTTGTCACATACCTCATGTCAGACTCAATAGAAACCCATAATCTGGAGGATTTGTCACCAGTGGAGATAGACACTGTTATGA